TTTATATAGCGCTTTTCTGGACACTCCACTCAAAGTGCTTTACAGGTAATGGGGATCCCCTCCTCCACCACCAGTGTGCAGCCCCACCTGGATGATGCGACGGCAGCCATAGTGCGCCAGAACGCTCACCACACATCAGCAATCAGTGGGGAGGAGAGCAGAGTGATGAAGCCAATTTATAGATGGGGAGTATTAGGAGGCCATGACTGGTAAGGGCCAATGGGAAATTGGGCCAGGACACCGGGGTTACACCCCTACTCTTTTCGAGAAACGCCCTGGGATTTTTAATGACCACAGAGAGTCAGGACCCCAGTTTTACGTCTCATCCGAAGGACGGCACCTGCTTACAGTATAGTGTCCCCATCACTATACTGAGGCATTAGGACCCACGTGGACCACAGGGTGAGCGCCCCCTGCTGGCCCCACTAACACTAACTACTGCACGTTCATTGGCTCGCTGATCGAGACCTGGTAGGAACAAAACAAACGCGGCAGTGGTAGCGCAGGCCACCTGTGCTGCTGGCAGATAGTGGATTTGAGGATCAAACTTTCTTGAAAGAAGCCAGCCCAGCGTATGGACAACTGGGCGGCTGGCTCCCCAATCCCACAACCCTCTGATCTCAAAACGTTATTAATGGTTGCCCAGGTCTTCTGCTTTTACTACACACCTGACGCGGTCATTGTCTTATTGCGAGATTTGGGTTCAAGACCGTCATAAAATCCATTCACCCAAGCTTTTTGCAATTCAGGGTCACGGGGGGAACAATAGCCTAGACCCAGGAAGCAACGGGCACAAGGTGGGGTACACCCCGGACTGGCATGTTGTCCATTACAGGGCACACACGGACACACACACACACACACAAGGGCCAATTTTTCCCCAGCATCTACTAGTAGGTCTGGACTGTGGGAGCAAACCCTCGCAAACAAGGGGAGTATATATCTCATGAAACTGAGCGGCAAACAGCTACGCGGGAGAACTGCTCGTGTAACAGTCGCACACAACTAGACTCCAAAATAGCTTCTTCCCCAGAGTTGTCAAGTTGGTGGCGCCCCCACCCCCTCCCACCATATTATGATCTCTCCTAACGTCTTCCTGTACCCACAACGACTGTACTCCTACACCACCACACACACATGTAAGTCGAAATTGTACTGTCCCCTCGATAGCCCAGTAAAACTGTACCGGTCGTAATAATATACTATTTTTAACCATACTATTTTTGCACTGTTCCAAGAATTACCTTGCACTGTTTTTGTCCTGTTATATTTTCTCTGTTTGCGGAATTTTGCACAGTTTTGATTACTT